GAAAGAACAACAAATTTGAGAATACAAGACTTCCTATCAGAGAAATTTGATATCAACAACGGTCTCCCTCAAGGCTCGCCACTATCGGTAATATTATACATCATCTATAATTCAGAATTACTCGGTATGAACAATCCCTCACCTCTATCGGACGATATCTCAATAGGTTTCATAGATGATGTAGTCCATGTCGTAGCATCCAAGGATTTTAACACCAACATCCTCAAACTCAAACAACACGCGGATAAATCACTAGCATGGGCCCTGAAACATGGAGCCATCTTTGACAAGAAAAAGGCTCAACTGATGCATTTCTCAACTAAACGAAAACCGGAGAACCCGAATTTCCAATTTGGCGACAGTCTCCTCAAGCCCAAAGAAGAAGTCAAATGGCTGGGCCTCTGGCTAGACCCGAAACTCAACTTCAACAGCCATCTACAACACATGAAGAAAAACGGTGAACTCACATTAAATCAATTCAGAAGATTAAATAAATGCTATTCAGGACTATCAATGAAAGAAATCAAGAAACTAATCAAATCAGTTCTTATCCCAAGAATTCTCTATGGTAGTATTGCATGGCTAACAAAGAAAAATGAAAGTAAAGCTAACAAAATATTAGACACCATCCAGAATAAAGCCAACCAAATAACGCTAGGAGCTTTTAAAGGAACGTCAAACGAAATGATGCGCCACGACACATATATGCCCCCACTCAAATGGGTAGCGACTAGCAGACATCACCAATTCATTCTCAAACGCCTCTCAGCTCAAGACACTCACCCGACTCGCCAATTCATAGAGTTCGAACTGAAGACCAAATACAAATCACATCCCGGACCCATCCAAGACATACTTAGTCCACAACACCTCGAACCACTTATCAAAGAAGAGGTAGAAACGATTTTTCCATTCCCACTGGCACCGTGGTCAAAATGTTTTGGGGAAGTAATGAACATAGGTAAAACGAAAGACGACGTGGTCAAACTTTTACCTGAACAAATCAAATCAGAAGAAAACAACGACACATTAATTATCTTTACTGATGGTTCGGTCAAAGAAGAAGGAGGAGGTGCAGCAGCAGTCTCTAAGACGCTCAGCAGAATACAAGCAGTCGAATTTAATGATAACTTCTCAAATCATGAGATGGAACTGATGGGTATACTTCTGGCTTCAGAATTAGCTAACGACATCTTCTCTACACAGCGCCCGCCACCAAAGAATCTAGCCATCTTTAGTGACAATCAAGGTGCAATCCAACTTGTTCAAGACATTCCGAAACAGACTTCAGGACAACACTTGTTGATTAAAATCCGTACTCAACTAATGAGAATCCCTCCTTCAGCTGATATAAAATTCTATTGGACCCCAGGACACAAAGGTATTGAACTGAATGAACTGGCTGACGAACTAGCAGGTACGACCGCGGAAAAGCAAGAAATGCCGATGCAGCTCCCGACCAGTCTTGGTAGTCTTAAACGACGAACCAAATCAAATTTCAACATCAAACAATTCACTTTCATCCCAGGAAAGAACACCTCCTTCATCACGAAACCAAAGTCGATTACAGAAGGTCTAGAGAACCTTGAAAAGGGCAACACAGCAGCCATATTTCAACTCAGGGCGGGATTTAGCCCCCTTAATGACCACTTATTCAAAAGAAACTTAACGGATTCCCCGCAATGTGACGTCTGCAAGATGAAAGAAAATACTCACCACTTTCTCCTTTATTGCAGGCGATACTCTAGAGCTCGTAAAACTTTTCGGTCAAGATTAAAAGAGGAAGGAATAAGAGTGAACTGGAACAACACCACTAAACTCTTAGACACGCCCAAAGTTTTCCCACTTCTATCAGAATTTATTTTAAAAACTAAAAGATTTGTACATTTTCACTCTTATTTACAGGATCAGGACCAAGGAGAACGGCCACGGAACAAAGAGCGACTTGCCACGAGATAGAAAGGATCTTAACAATCAAAAGAAGAAAAACCGCTGATAAGTACTCACGTAACTGGGTTCGATTGAAAAATATCAGAAACAGCGTACTGTCAAACCTCGTTACGGAGTTCGTCGGGTAATAACCGGCGAGGCAGTCATCATCCCAACTATATCATCTCATAAACCGCTGATAAGTACTCACGTAACTGGGTTCGACTGAAAAATGTCAGAAACAGCGTACTGCCAAATCTCGTTACGGAGTTCGTCGGGTAATAACCGACGAGGCAGTTTTAACCATCATTTTCCTCTCTTAAATCGCTGATAAGTACTCACGTAAATGGGTTTGATTGAAAAATATCAGAAACAGCGTACTGTCAAACCTCTTTACGGAGTTCGTCGGGTAATAACCGGCGAGGCAGTTTAACAAAAAGTTCAACATTGTTGTCTTTTTAAGGGAAATATTCCACCTAGTCTCCAGATACTTGGGACGTGCTTGCACACAGGTGTGAAATAAAATAAAACAAGAAACAATTTATTGCAAAATGACAGGGATAAAAAATCATAAACAAAAGAAAAGAGAAAGATTAAGGATTCTTGATATCGACTGGCAACGAAACTCTTTGATCCGACTAGATGGCCGAAATCTCCAAGGTGTACTGGTCCTTTTTCTATTTAACTTGTTTAGTTAGTGTATTATGCAATAAAGCCAATCGCACTTTAAAAAAAAAAAAAAAAAAAAAAAAAAAAAAAAAAAAAAAAAAAAGAATGCAAATCAATACCAGCCAATAAGTTATCCAAATACTGGCAACTAATCAATGACGACAACAGCAAGACGTTACAACCCACATCAACTTCATCTTCTGCTGGTACTGTTGTCCCTCCTTCAGTAGCTCCTGCAGAAAAGATTTGTCTTGACTTTACAAAGAACAAGAACAACCTTCATCACTTCAGTGAAATCAGTCCCTTGTTAACAAAGCTCACCCACATGTTATTGGATTAGCATGTTTCTTACATGCATTCAACAATCTTGCAAAGGACATACTGAGTCACCCACTTATGGTACAAGCTGTCAATGGAAATAAAAAAATAGTTAATTACTTCAATTCATCCGCATTCTTCAGCGAACACTTAGCTTCTTGGAGGAAAGAAAATGGGGTAAAGCATGGTTTACAATCAGCCTGCATGACCCGATGGTTCACCTTTGCAAAGGTGTGCCTCTCTGTTGATGAGCATGAACTTGGACTTCTGAAATGTGTTGAGATGGCTGAAGACCGAACAATCTCGACTCCGAGCATGCCACCTGAAGTTCGGAACATCGTTCGTATGCGTGATCACTTTACTGCAAATAAAACTCTCGTAATGTTTCTCAAGCCTGTAGTCAATGCATTGGCTCGTCTAGAACGTGCCACAACCTCTCTTGGTGACATATGGAAGGAGATCTTAGGTGTCTACTTATCTATCAGCAAGATTGATGTGTCGGTCTGGCCCAACTACATACTGTCGTTCCCAAAAAGCTTGCCACATCGACTATTTTTCAGTCGAGCTGGCGGTCCGTGCGCGCTGTCAGAAACAGACAAGAGAAGCGATCACGCAAGAGGAAAAGAACCTCCCTGTCACAAAATTCCATACTCGAGAGAGAGAGGGTCAGGGAACCCTCTTTTTGAACAAAATGGCAAATCTGTTTTGAAAGCTGGGCAGAGCCATCTTCCACCAGCACCATCCAAGAATTGCCCTCGACCGCTCAAAACATCCATAACTTTTTCAAAAACATCTTTAAACTTCAAATGATTTTCATCAAAAAAAACGAATCCTATAAACGGTAGATACATCATCGACAAGAATCCTCGTCACCGCCAAATTGTGGACCTTTGACTCCTTTGACTCAAAACTCGCTTTTCAAAACCTTTTTTTCCTTTTGTCTTTAGTTCATTACAACCAATCAATGAAATTATGATTGTCTCTTTTACTTAAGTCAGTCAAGATGCATAAACAGCATCACTAACACTTCAAGCAAGTTTGTTTTGTACTTTACTACATACATAGACTGTTAAAATGAAATAAATGGGATTGATGTTTGTTTTCCACATTGTTTGATTGGTGCCGATTGAACCGATCAACCCCCAAATAAAAATTTGAAGCAATTGACTTGAATCAAATCAAGTGCTTCAATCAATTGGTGCTTTAACCTTTTTATCTACTCTGAAACATGATCATAAACCTTTGTCTCTCTTGCTGAGAGTTAATTTCTGCTTAGGTGTCCTTGATTCGGTCCAAAAAGTGATGCCGAATTGATCGCTAAACCTTTCAGAAAACAAATTTGATGACCTCTCTGACTTTTTGAAAAGAGACTTGTCCATGTCTTGTGATTTCTTGAACACGAGACATGGACGTTGCTTGAAAAGAACTCAACCTTAGTTGGAAAGAACATCAACTAGCTCAGTTTGTTATCTGTTTGATTTGATTCACTTTATTGAAATTGAGATCTTGTTTGTTTCTTTTCTATCCATCACTTGTTACAACCGAGCTTTGAAAAAAATTAAGATATCAATCAAAGAAGCAAGTTGATGACCAAAAGAAGACTACAAATCACCGTGGCCAATTGGTTGAAGATGAAAAAAAAAGAAGTGAGTTGATGACATCCGATTGGTTGAAGATGTACACAAATATTTGGAGAAAAAAGATATCAAAAAAGTGAGTTATGGTCCTTTTCATTGTATCGGAGTTGACGGATAGTTCGTGTTCCGGTTGAAGCCCAGCTATGGCGGCAAATTCAGAAATTGATGGTTTGAAAAAGTTATGGATGTTTTGAGCGGTCGAGGGCAATTCTTGGATGGTGCTGGTGGAAGATGGCTCTGCCCAGCTTTCAAAACAGATTTGCCATTTTGTTCAAAAAGAGGGTTCCCTGACCCTCTCTCTCTCGAGTATGGAATTTTGTGACAGGGAGGTTCTTTTCCTCTTGCGTGATCGCTTCTCTTGTCTGTTTCTGACAGCGCGCACGGACCGCCAGCTCGACTGAAAAATAGTCGATGTGGCAAGCTTTTTGGGAACGACAGTAGATTTCAAAAAACAATCTCTCTCGTATGTTGATAAACGAGCCGAAGTATACAATGAACCAATTTACATCATAGCATTCTTTCTCAGTCCCGCTTATCGTCAAGTCGCTGTATCGGGAGAGTATCCAATCAAGGTTGTCAAGAAAATGCTTGTCACATTAGCTCAACTCTGGGGATACTCAAAGGCAGACTGTATTAATTTGAAGGATCAAGCACAACTTTACCTCGATGGGACAGGTCTTTTTCCTAGTAAAAAGAATTGTCAGTTATTTTCATTTGCCTTTGGTCCTGCTTCTAGTGCAACTGATATGTTTCTTCTCAGATGAACGAGCGCTTGATTACTGGCTCAATCTACCCTCAACCCTCCAAACCACTCAACTCAAGACTTTTGCTATCAAAGTACTCGATCTCGTAGCCCATGCGGCAGGAGTCGAAAGCTTGTTTTCGGACATGGGGGCAACAAAGACCAAGAACCGATCACGACTAACCAAAACTCATCTAACTATGATCTCACAAGTCAGGCTCACATTATTAAATCACACTGAACCCAATGAATCCAACACGGGCACCGAAATCGAAATTGTTGAAAACAGTCCGGAGGATTTCTCTGGAGGTTTTTCGGGACCTGATGAGCTCGAACAATTCGAGACTGGTATTTTTCTTCCTGAGGACGCACCCATCGATCCCTTTCTTTTACCAATGAATCCGGGTTTCGATGGGCTTATAAGCACCCTATTTGATTTCGATATCTTTGACATCAATTCTGTTCATTCTGTCTCGCCTTTGAATGTCAATGCTTCTGTGGTAGATAGTTCTGGTGATCCATGGAACCCTGATGATATAGACTACGACTAGAACACTCTTTTAGACTTTACAATGATGAAATAACAAAGTACGATGGTCTTTTCGCCATTTTTCTCATTAAAACACGCGCCTAGGCGCGCCTACAAAAATTTGAGTGCGCCCACAACCTGACACATGCCATTTATGTAATTTTGTATTCCTCACATGTTTTCCTGAAAGCAAGATGATGAAGCACTAATACATACAACTACTTGCACTGCTTCGATTTCTTCCCGAGACAGATTAATCCTGATTAATCTCATTCCTTGGTTTGCGTCCTTGAACCCTCAGGCTCAAGAATACTAACCAAATGCGCACAAAACTTTATCCCCTCATCTTTCACCTTCAAAACGACTAGATACCGGGAAGCGAACAGCAACACTAATGATTTCGTTAAAAAATGCCTATTTTATCTCTTTCAATAGATAAAATGATATATTTTTTATATTCCAAACTTCAAAACAAAGTTGATCAAGATTTTTTAAAATCTATACCATCACAAACAAAAACCCTTGATATTATAATACTTGATTACAAAGAAAAGTAAATAAAATAAAATCTTTGAGATTCTCAAAACAAATAAATTGAATAACAAACTCCAACGAAAAAAATCATCTTTCGAAATTACAAATACATGGGTTAACAAATAAAAAAAGATGAGATACAAATCATGATAAATTGTTTTTCGAATAATAATAATAATAATTGTAAGGGTCCATTAAAGAATACATCGCCCAAAGTGGTCCATTTTAATGATTAAAAGTTAAGAAGTAATTAAAAAATGATGATCAAAATGTATGAAATGCGCTCGCTTGGATCTTTTTTATCTAAACCTTTACAAACCACAAAAAACTTCGATCAGCAAACAAAAATTCTGTAAAAGAGTAAAACCAAAACCAAGAACTACAAAAACAACTCACCAAATCTGAATCCGACTTGATTCACTTCACGATATTCTTGATCCAATCAGTAATACAAATCAATCGATGCACATCCAGATTCTCCATAAGTTTTCCATCAAGTTCTTCAAATCCAAACTCATCCTTTTCGATCCGCTCATCATCCTGAATCAAATCCATCACCTCATCATTCTCATCTACCAAACTACCTTCTTGAGGAACCAATGAAGTACCCTTCCTATTCCGAATCTGAACCCCATCCAGTCGATTAAATTCCTCTAAAGCTTCAAAACTTAAATCCAATCTTTTAGCCATCAAATCCGTGATCCCATCGACGGTCATCATTCTACTTCTAGAAGAATCTACATGATTAAACTCATAACCAAATCCATACATCAAAGCTTTTTGACTAAAATATGCACTTCTTCTTTCTTCTCCTTCTCTTACGTTTTCTTTTTCTAATGTAGAAAGTGTCGATCTTCTATGATGATTAGTAGTTGGTGGTGATTTTGGAAACCTTGGTGATAATAATGGACATAGTTTGGGTCGGATCGGTTTACTACTACTATCATTGTTGGGTTGGGTTTCAGAACTTTTTCTAGGTGTGATCAAATTGGAATCAAGAAAGCTTGAAGTGTCTATATAATCAAAATCACTAGTGATCGATTGATTAGTCGGATTCAAAACAATATTAGAATGAAGGTTTTGATGAGGATCAGTAAGAATAGTACTTGAACTGGATTTGATAGACTGAGCTTCATGAATCGAACTTAGAGTAATCGAACTAGACCCAGAATCACCACTGCCACTACCATTACTAATCGAATCAGCTTGTGAATCTAAACATAATTTTTCAAACGTCGAATCGATTGAAGGGTTCTGTAAAGGTTTATTAAGTTGAACTGAAAGCTCTTTAGAATTAGTATCTGATTTATTTAAAATTGAAATCAATCGATTATGAGCCGGTTTAAGTAAGACTGATTCAAAATAACCAATCATAGATCTATGATTCGAATGTGGTGAAGTTGAAGACCAACTTGAAGGTGAACATGGTTCGTATATCAATTCAGTGGGTGATCTGAATAATGAAAGGTTTTGATTAGATTTCCATGAATTTAAATTCGGTTTAGGTAATGAAGTTAAATGTAAAGTTGATTGAGTTCTGGTAGGTGAAGTGCTTAAGGATGGTAAACTATCTGGGATCGAATCTTCTCTTTGGATTTGATGACATTCTTCTTGACTTCTTGATTCGATGATCATAGGATTGATTTCTTGAGTTTCTTGCAATTTCATTTCACTTTTGGGTATCACCAAATTCAATGACATTGTCCGTTTGATATTTTAAGAAGGTAAAGGTTTAAATAGACTTGGGCAATCTTGGATAACTTTTGTACTTGACAAGATAGTACGATAAAGGTTCTTGGTAAATGAGATGAATGAATGAATTGATAATTGATGACCAGAGATGATGAATGGTCTTTATTTGAATCAAAAATGTTGAAGATGGCAAAACGGAAAATGAAATGTGAAAAAAGAAAAAAAATAGGATAGAAGTTGAGTTTAGGAACTAACCGACAAGAAACATTCAAATCATTTGTTCCTTTGTACATACACAATATGATTTACAAACATTTTAATCTTGACCTGTCCCATTTAAGAGAGATCAACTCATGAGGTTCTTGAAAAATTAATATGTACTCTTCAGGTAGGTTTGAGCCCCAAAAGAATAGTGGAGGAACCTGATGTGTATAAAACAAAAACGGTTTTGAAGATTTGAAGATAGGAAGGCGAGCAACGATGTCCTATCTATGCCTTCGGCACACCCATACACCCGCTGATGGGAGTTGGCAATTCATCTTTATGGAATCAGCTGGAGGGCTGTGGGCAACGGTCACCTGATTTACGCATGGCGGCCCGGGACCTGAATTGCATGGTTGGCCCGGGGTTGAGATGATCGGGAGCACTGTGGGTGGCCGTGTCTGGCGCTGAGACATCCCACTGGGATTCTCCCCGCTCCGTCGAGAGAAATGAGATAACTGCTTAAACAATGTTGCACCACTTGGAACTTTAACCCTCTGTCTGACAGGACGGGTGGTGGGCGGGAAATAAAAAAAAAATAATTCAAAAGCTGAGAGACTAAAAGAAATTAACACGCTATAACTTGAGTAAAAATGAATAAGTGAAATATTTGTAAGGGTTATGATGGTGTTCTTCTATTGAACTTTTGAATACAACTGGGTTGGGTACAATGGTTGGAGCAGAGGATGGAGCAGACGACTAGGCCTGGCACCTCGATGTTAGCAGAGGTTCGACATACTCCTTGGGGTGATCTGTCGAGGGGCCACTTTGCTGCTCATCCTCTCAGATTGTATTTCTCTCGTGACACCTGTTGCTTATGTGACACTTCCCTCCTAGCATATTCCACTTGGTTAACACCCTGTGCCAACTTCGAGGAATCAGCTGGAGGGCTGTGGGCAACGGTCACCTGATTTACGCATGGCGGCCCGGGACCTGAATTGCATGGTTGGCCCGGGGTTGAGATGATCGGGAGCACATCCACCCTCGTAATAATGGAGAGTTGTTGATGGGTAGAAGGTAAGAGCTTGATGTTTGGCTGTGCCGATGGATGTGCGACTCGTAAGCGTGTTCTACGCGCGTGATTGCTTTTCCCCTGTGGGTGCGAATCATTCCGCGTATGGAGTTGGCCTGTTGGACGTCGATTCTGTGCAAATGGGACGTTTCTAATGAGTGCCAGTCAGGGAGCTCGAGCTTCAGTGGCTGGGAGCTGACCTGTTTGGTAGACTATTCTTTCCAACGACTGACTTTCTCGTCCGGAGGAGGGAGGTGTTGTCGTTTCTGCTTGCAGAAAGGGAAAGGTTAGCGTCGTACAGTGAAGTCTGAAGACGAATCACTTACGAGAGCCACTCGCGTAATTATCATACGCGAGCCTTCGAAACCACGAACTGTGACTTTCACGCAATGACTGTGTGAAGGAGAACCAGGTCAGGTTGAGCAAAGGGTTTTCTGGTAGAGCGCCGTGTTCATTACGCACGGGAGCTTTAGTTGGGAAGTGGATGTGTTCCCCCACGGTGAGTCCAGTTTGTGGCATGTGCTCGGTTGCTTTTCGCATGTTCAGGACGGGGTGGTTTCTGACGTAGAGGGCGTAGGATTCGCCTGACCACCTGCCTATCGCCTGGATGCTTTTCATGGGCATACCGGCTTGAGCGAGGGCCATTGCACCTCCTGCCCTGAGGGAGTGCCCGGTCCTGTTGCTGCCGAAGATTGAGGCTAATTGTTCCATGAACCAGGCTCTGGTTGGTAGTTGGCCGTCTTCTTTGATGAGGAGGAGAAGTTTGCCTGGGAATCGTTTGTCACGCAGGTTGATGTAGCGGACCAAAGTTCTAACGGGACAAAGATGGCAGTTTGCCCGCTGTACGATCGCTACCGGGGTGCCGACGAACTTTCTGTCGGCCTTGTGGTATGGTAAGGTGTAGGTGGCTGCTTCTCCGTTGAGAGCAATGAGGACGGAGGATCTTCGTATGGATTTTCGGGAGTTGCGAAAAGCGATGATGTCAGGCGTGACTAGCTCGCCCAATCAATGCAGCGCCGCAAACCCTAGGCCCAGAATTAGGTTGAACAGAAGATCGTCAAAGGTTTGGTTGAACCGGTTTGAAGCGATTTCGAGGTTGAGAAGTGTGAAAGGCGGTGCTTGCTTTGCGGGTGTTGAGAATTGTTTTTCACACCCGGTCAGCGAATTTTTGATTTTGTCACCGCTTCTGATGGTTGTGACTTCTGGGAATTTTTCTTTGTAGTGGCGGACGACTCCTGTTAGGTACGTTTTCATCGTGCCTGGCTTAACTTCTCTGCCGACTACCGAGACGAAATGCGCTAAGCTGATTTCTGACGGAACGACATCTTGAATATTTTGGGATTTGCAGAAAGCGACAAATCGTCGAACCCCACAGGCGTATTTGGCTTGCGATGACGGCTCGAGGCAGTGGTTCTGGTCTGAAATGTTCATCGCTTCGCGTTCTGAGAAACTGTACTCTTGTGTCGCGAAAGCTTTGGCAGGCATGTTGTACACGGAGATTTTTTTAAAATGGCAATAACTGAAAAGATTTTTTGTAAAAGGGTTTAATAAATTTTTCTTGATGAGAATAGATAGGTCGCGTGAATTGAGGAGACAAGATTGAGAAGAAAAAATGAGGAAAAAACGAAAGGGCCGGAGATGATCATTTTGTGCGTTTGAAACCGCCGTCTAGACTTTTAGGGATGGCTGGGAGGGTAATATGTCTTCTAGATGGGGGTGCTCCTTGGTCAGATATGATTTTTCGTCGTGATAGCTGATCCGTGATGACGTTTCGTTCTCCTGAGACGTGCCTGACTACCACGTTGAGTGACCTTTCCAACATCCTTGTTACCGCGTTCCTGAACAAGATGCGAGTGAGATCCGTTGGCGAGTGCGACCCGAACAGATAGCACACTGATTCATTATCGGAGAAGATGAGGATCTTCTTTGCGTCTGTAGAGACGGCCAATTCGATGGCTAGTACTACCGCTAACAGCTCTGACCAATAGTTGTCCCTCGCCGGAGGCGGGAAGAACAAGTCCCAGGTCTCGTTGGAATCTGGGTTCCAGATGCCTACGCCTGTTGGGCATGCATCGCAGAAAAATACGATGTCCGCGTCTTGTAGATCCCAGTGATAAGATTCCATGATTTGCCGGCTGTTCCAGTTTTCCAGAGCGTCCGCCAGCCAGCATAGATCCTCTTTTGTTGCTTTGTTGAGAGGAACGTGAGCGTTGCACATATTTTTCCCGGCGATTTTGTCCCAGGAGGACTGGAGAGACCACCTTCCTAATGGGAAGATATTGAGCGCCCAGTTCGCCCAGCCCGTCAGGCGTTGCCATTCGACCAAAGGTTGTGATACCGAGTTGGCGAATAGGCGCAGTTGAGAGATGAGAGCTACTCGTTTCTCTTCTGTCAGAGAGATGACCATTGTGTCCGTGTTGATTAGATGACCGATGACCTCTAGCTTTGATCCCCAGATCTGCTTTTCCCAGGCCCATGGAATTCCTAGGTAATTGAAAAGGGTAAGGAATTGGGCTTGGTTTAGAGGGATTACGTGGGCTTTAAACGAGACCATCTCTTCTGAGTAGCAGCAGCCCCAGGAGTTGTCCATATACGTGTTGATGCCTTGTATGCCTAACTCAAAATAAGCAATCCATAAGATTAAGGAAAAGAAGCTGCACCAAATTTTGGGTGAGCTAGCGCATCCGAAATTGACGCAGCGGTCAATGTGATTCAGACCATCAATTCGTATAGCTTGTCTTAATTGCCATTGACGATGCATGCCTAGAATACGGAAAGCTGCGTCAATGTCCGACTTCCAGATGGTGGTCTTCCTTGGGGCCGGTTTCTTTTGGCGCGACCAGAAGAACTTAGAGTTGTTAATTGACGCGAGGGCTCTCGGGGTTCGAAGGTGAATGATCGACGGGATGAAGGAGGCAATAGAGTCCAGTTTTATCCGGATTTGATTTCTGTCGATTAAGTCATTTGGGGATGGGCTGCCGTAGCTCATATTTGTGCACATGCGTGTCTTTCCTGAATTTTTATTCGTCGCTAGGCATAGAGGAGCGGTCTTCATTCCTCGGAAAGGGGAATGGAACCCTTCGGAGAGTCTACCTAATTTCACCTCTTTGTCTCGTGTTTTGCGGATGATGTCGAGACCTTCATCAGTGTGAACGTGATTGTCGTGCTGAACGGTGTAGAACTCCTACGCAGTGTAGCGTAGGCTGAGCCGGAGAGGGGAAGAATCACCACTCAAGAGAGCGGATGAAACTACAGGCGCTGAGAAGCTGCCCTCGTCCTTCAAAATTGCTTTTGAATTTAAGATGAGACTTCTCTACTTTTCACTTCTTTGTCTTTTAAGGTTTCCCGAAGCCTAATTTACACTACGTGGTTGGATGCGCAGCTTCTGGCGGAGTCTAACGGTACCACACACAACCCTACACGAGTTGATAGTGCGAGGATATGTAAGGTTGAAGTTGATTTGCAATGTCACAAATGTGAACTGCTGCTGTACAGGTCCGGAATGAATTCCAGAGCCCGACTTGACCCGGCCTCGACTTGTATCAAGAGGCGGGTTTGTTGCTATTTTGAAGCCAGAGCCAACTTTTGATTTTGAATTAAAATAAATAAATAAAAAATAAAATTAAGACTCTTCGAACACCGAGCTCAGCAAAAAAAGAAAGATACAATTAAACACTCGATGACAATCAACTGAAAGTAAGCTCTTCCTTTGTCTCTGTTATCAAAGAAAATCTAACTAACACAACCAAAATATCTCATTTACTACACAGATTAACGGACACACTCGATTCTGTAAGACTTTTACAATAACACCAATACAATAACTCGAACGTACACAAAAGATTGACTTCACGATCAGACACACGGATTAACGGACACACTTCCACAAAAAGATGGATCCCCCCTCTCTCCTTATCTCAAAGCCTCCCTTTTATATCTTTCTCTCGGATCCAAACCCACAACTCAACCATTCTAATCTCCACTCTCAGACCTGATCAATATCACTCAAACACTGTCCAACCGATTGTTTCAAAGTCATTTTAACCTTTATTTCAATATGTAAGTGCTTTCTCTGTCTTCTCATATTCGTTTTCTTTCTAATGCTCATCGTCTAAAACTGATTTCTCTGTCTATTCTTTTGATTTGCTCGTCATATAGTCATTTCTTTCCAATACCTCCACTTTCCTTATCACCCAATTCATCTATCAACACTATCTCAAATTCGATCCCAGCCTCTTTCCAACTACAGCCTTCAAACTTCCACATCAATCTTCTTATCTCATATTTGATCACTATTATCACACACCATTTTTGATCTTGAGGCTTAGTTTGATCTTGCATTTCAAGAAATAAGTTTATTCAATTCATCTCTGACTTCTTTGATTTCGCATCCCACTGACATTTGTCTAATTGTTTGTTTTAAGTTTGCACTCCAAAATCGATCCTTCTATCTAGTTAACCATTTCGATCTGGACCCTTCATTTTGATATCTTGAATCTAGAACATGTTCTTTTTAATCTTTCATGCCAGGTATGTGGTCACTCTTCAATCAATCTATAATCATATCATTTGAACTGACTGTACACTACCCTCTTTATCAATTGTATGGGCTTTTAGATCCCCAAAATCGAACCTCTTATGTATATGTCTTGTTAATTTCGATTTTGGCCTGTACTTTAGGTGTTTATTTAATGCAACTTGTTTTATTATTTAAAGCTTTCTTGTAGTTATGTTATCTATGTTTGCTATATTTATCTTCAAATGTATTTTGAGTTGGAATCAAATCATAGAAACCATAATTGATTGAAATGAATATTACTAATCATCTGATTGGGAGTGAATGTGCCATATTGAGAGAATTGATCTAATACTGAATCTGTTTTCTATGTGTTTCCTCTTATGAAGATTTTTTTGTTTGTTTGTAATTTAGAACATAGAAATTAATATATGTCTTGATATTGAATGTAACCAGATAAAAAAGATCTTTGAATAATCCAGGAAGTCTCAGGTGTAGTCCTTGAAAGAGATGTAAATTGTAGATGTTTTGTAAGATTGAAGATTGAACCCTTTTGACATTTTGATTTCCACAACGGTTTCGTCTGATGGAAGTGGGCACATGGGCCAGAACCCTTGTTCTAGTCCTTCGATGATAGATTTGACGAAAGGCTGATTTGGGTGGGAGACGGTCATAAGTTTGATCCGTGAGGCGTTAACGGGACACACGATTCGGAAGATATCCGGGCTGTTGCGTATGGCGTATGCTGCTAGCGGGTCGTCGGCCAGAGAAGGAGCTGCAGGCATGGGTTCAGCGGAGATAGAGAAATTGACAGAGGCAGAGAAATGTTGGGCTTCGTCTTCGATTTCCAAGCCTCGAAGGAATTTACGTGAATTCGGTTTATATGTGAGCGACGATTCCTCTATGATTGGCATCGCATCCCATTTTGTTGCATATGTGATGTCTTCTGCTGCATTCGTCGTCTGGCTTTGCGCAAATGTTATAATTCCAGTTATTACAAGGCTGATCAGAAATTTTCCAGCTCCCAGCTTGTTTGATTTCGTATGGGAAGTTGAGTCTGGACTTTGCTTGTTTTGGTTCTGGTCTTGGTTTGGATTTCGGTTTCGACCAGGATTTTGACGAGCTCTTAGGAGTTGAGCTGGTGTTGTTATTGCTTTTTGGTTTTGCGATGTCGGCTCCTTCGCCAAGGCGGCTAGTTTTGCTGTAGAGGATCTTTGCTTCCAAGTACTTGAGTTTTGGATTAGTCCAATCGCCGAAGGCGATCCAGGATTGACGAGAGAATTGAAGGCGCATCGCCGAATCAAAATCTCGAACGTCTTTCCAGTGGATGCCGGTCGAAGGATCACTCGCCAATTCGTTAATGTACTCGAAATAATTTTTGATGTTGTCCCTGGCAGGAGGGAATGCTGCCTGATAAGTGTAATCCAAGATGGCGATGAGGTGTTGCCAATGGGTTTTGTCTTCGATAGGGATGCCCTTGATTTTTTCGTCAAACTCCAAATCTCTAGCTTCGTTGATTTTGAGAGTTTTGATTGCCCCTGGCTTTCCGTAGATTTCGATATAAACTTTCTCCAAGTCGACAAATTTGTATTCAAGAAGATCTTTTGATTGAGATGAGGGCCATTGGTCAGGCTTAGCTGAACAGGCTTCGAAAAGCTCGACCGATCTCTTACACTACGCCAAAGTACATCTTTTCCTAGGGGTATAGAAAAATACTTTGCACATAGAAAAGTGTTTTCTATACTCATACAAAATAATTTTCTATGCTCACATATCGAATCAGTGAGTATAGAAAAGTATACATTTCTCTTATTGTTGTAGGCCAAACAGTTCTGTGTAAAGCAAAGTGAACACATCAAGCACAAAAATAAACATTGATGTATGTTTGAGAACATATGTATGTAGTGCGTTAGCCCTGGTGACCCCGACCCGTTTGATATTTGGGAAGTCTTGTCACCCGACCACTGTC